AGTTTTTCTTTCTTTTGCCAGTGCTTTTCCATGCAAAAGTGGCTTGGAAGGAGGTCCATTTCTAGGCAGGGAAATGGATTGGAAATTGGGCTGTTTTCTCAGTAGTTTGACATTTTAGCTTTGATCAGGCATGGGATCCTTGTTGCATGGAAAGAAATATGTAAGATGAGTTTTAAGAATGCAGATAGTCTTTGCCAGTCCACTGAGATGGCTTTTAGATATTCATTACTTTTACTTGACTTTTATATAGGTTATAAAAAGTAAATGTGGTGAAACCTCATTTTTACATGGACAGAACAGAATTTCTGCTGGTTGGCCTTAAACTGATCCCACACTTGAAATTAATTGAAGTCCATGGGTTTATTGCCTCCAACACTTTTAAGCCAGTGCAATTTTTCATTTTCCCCAAAGTTGTAATTTTATTAAACCAAGTTATAGTAATAACAATCCTTATGAAGAAGAGGATGAGAAGGAAAGAACCACCTGCCAGAGAACAAAAGAAGAGGAAAGTCATGCTTCTTTTAAATTCCCATTTATAAGGAATGTTAACAAAATTGGAAACAGAAAGCTAACATTTATTTTTGGAATAATAATTGTGTCCAGATCAGAACACTCTAAATCCAGGGCTCCATAGCACCCTTTTGAAGGGATGAGCTGGAAAGGTGGCCAAGCAGTTGAGATCACTTGTGATGGATGCAACATTTGGGCAGCATCATTTAGGGCAGGGGAGAGAAATTGGTGCCTGCAGCTGTGACATGGTTTGCAGTTACAGTGTAGGGGGTATGGGGATGTTCTAAAATACTGCCTTTTGGGTGGGTTTATAGCACAACAGTGGAGTTGGAGGAACAATTGTCCCTCGTGCAGTGGTGCTGGGGGCAGGGCAGTACTTACAGGCATGGACCTTGCATTTATAATCCCTCAGGTTGAAGTCAGAGGTTTGAATGGCTAGCAGAGTAATACAATTATTTTTTATGATTGGATCTCAAAGGACGTTATAAAAACTACATCACTAAGGCCATGTGCAATTATTGAAGTGTAGCCACCTGTGGGAAAGAAATGGCTGACAGTGTAAGCTTTCTAGAATCTTCCTACATCAACTGGTATTAGGAATGGAGAGCCCTAGCACAAATAAACACATCTTTTGAATGGGCAAGAAAGAAATTTTCATGAAAGTGGAGGTTGGAAAAATCTTACAAGGAGAGAGACTGATTCCAGTACTCATTACACCAAGGCATCATAGGCTATAATCGAACCCACCTCCCAGAGGGTCCCTCTTAAGTGTTGACCTAAAAACAAATTCGCCAGTTGGCTGGAGCATGCATCCTAAAGTTGCTGCAGGAGTGAATAAGCTTGACTGACTTCAGTCCCTGAAGGGTTCTGTCTGTAAATGCAGAAGTGGAAGCAAAAACGTTTTTTATTAGTCTTAAAATGACCCTTATTTTAATAACTAGCCAGTGTCAGAAGCATGGACCAGAGTCATTCTTTAACTTTTAAGAGCTAAAACATCATGCATTCATTCTTATTTGTCTGGTATTTTTGATATCGGATTCTTGTAAAGTATCCATATTCTTGAATAATAACGAAAGTGAGCTTTTATCATTTTTCTCTGCATGCTACTTAAAGTATTCAGAGAGTCTCCTTATTTAAAACCAAACAGGTCTGCAAACTTGATGTGTAGCATTTAAATAATCATATTAAAATTCAGACCTAACACCCACATTTCCCTGAGAGCTGTCAGTTTTTTGAGAAACTGGAAACTCATGCTAAACAACTGAGAGTATTGAGTGTGTGCATGCTTCTTCCCAAAAAGTGTTTAATGGCGGGGGAGGGGGGGGGTTTGCCATAGTTGGGACAGTGATTTATTTTCCTGAACTGCTCTGTAGTTTGGCAGTATTTTGCCACTTGGTTTTAGTTTATTGGAGATCTTTGGACCATTACCCATTCCTTGTGTCTATAGCTCTAAATGAAGCATTTGAAAGCAGCAGACTCTAATGTGGTGGGTCATATAGTTGTCAATTTTGGAAAATTTAGGCATGTAGGTGCCTTTTAATTTGGAGGTTGCTAGTCTGTTCCTGTTTGCAGAAAAAATACCTATAAATGACTTTTTTACATACTCCTTTTCCCCCCCTTCTCCTTCTTACCATAACTAAATAATATTTACTAAGCACTCATCTGGACATGGTGCTGTGCTAGGCAAAGTACAAGACAAATGCAAAAGATCCTGTGATTGCTCCCCCAGGAATGAGCAGTCTAAATCCCAGTCTATTGAAATGGACACTATGTGGAGTATTGAGATAATAATTTTCCAGATGGCAAATCAATCCAAATTACCAATTTACTGAAACACTATGTTCTTTTTTAAAAAACGCAACAAACAAAACTATTTGCTCTTTGAGATGAGAATTCTGCTTCCCCCCCCCTCACAAAGCCAAGAGGTTATTATATGCTAAATGTAAGTTGATTCTGGCATATGTGAATCATTTGAAGGGTGATGATATTGTTAAGTTTATTGCAGATGCTAAGAAAGGCTTTGGAACAACTGCCAGATAAAAAAGGGAGTGTATGTGACTAGCGGAAGTAGGGTTTGAATAAGTGTGTTACATGTAAACCAGCAGAAGTTACTTTCAGACATCAAGATGATGAAGGGGTGGCATTTATGGACTTTTCTAAGAAATTCTTGCCTAATTTTGATTCTTGATTGTAACATTTCAAATATTTGATGAAATATTAAAAATCTTGAATATACTTATATTTAAATTATTAAATATCATAGTCATTAAAGTTAATACTGTATGTATTACATATGTATTACAAATTTCTTAGATATATTGATTAACTCTTTTGTAACTATTTCATTGGCTAGTCAAGGTCTTATAGAAAATAGAAATCTCTAGTTTGATTTTACTGTATTTTGAGACATAATTTGTTTCTGACTTTCAGGGACTTTTTTCTATTAAAAATTAGTGTCCCTAGGGCTGGCTAGTTAGCTCAGTTGGTCAGAGGGTGGTGCTGCTAACACTAAGGTCCAGCGTTGGATCTCTGTACCAGCTACCCACCCCCAAAAAATAAAATAAATAAACAATAATGTAACATAAATTAAGTCACCGATTATATTATCCTTGTTTTCCCAAAGAGGCATTCTCTCTCTCTCTCTCTCTCTCTCTCTCTCTCTCTCTCTCTCTCTCTCTCTCTCTCT